TACTATACTACTTATATGCGTTTTTATACCAACGAGGTCACATTCCATGATTTTCACTTGTTAGAAAGATATCTTTGACAAAGAACTAGCTCACTGTTACTATTTAATTTTGGTTCAAAATTTAACTATTTTTTTCATTGTTAAACTAGTATATCACTAGTATATTTCTGGTAGAAACCTAATAGTTGTTATTAGTGACATATTCCTTTAAGAAAGACAAAACATTTGACAGTCTGCTTGGTTTTGCTTCGTATACTTGTTTCAAAGTAGTTCTCAACTAGTCTGTTTGACTACAACGTGCATTTTCTTGACTGCTACTATGATTGGCTTTAATCACACAAGCCAACGCTTTCGACAAAGTCCTTGAGTTAGAAGATTGTTGTGATTAAATTGAAATTATCATAATTAATTGTGATGTATTTTTTTAGATTAAACATATGGTTTATTGGAAAGACAGTTGAAATTTCGTTGAGTGCAAATACTAATTAATAATTATTAATATTGTGATTAATGTTTTGATTGGTATATGTATTTCAGAGAAATATTGCGCATATTACTATTAGGGAAAGACCTTTTCTGTATATTTTTTGGAAATTTATTCACAATATATATTACTTTCAAGCAAAAGTGTCGAATATTTACCTAAAAATTTGTTTAAAAAAATTAAATATTTAGTTTTCTTTAATAAATAAATTTAAATTATTTTCCGACCAATGCAAATTTAATTTATTTTTATTTTATTTTACTATTTTAATTTTATTTACTTAGTTTGTATTATATTGTTTTATTGCATTTATTTTGTTTCATTTCATTATATTTTATTTAATTTTTTCATTTAATTTTGTTTAATTTCATTTTAATTCTTGTTATTTCATAATACTTTATTTAATTTTGTTTGAATTATTTTGTTTTATTTATTTTTTTAATTATTTATCTTTTTTTATTTTATTTTAGTTTATTTCATTAAGATTTTAGTTTATTTTATTAAGATTTTATGTTATTTTATTTCCTTGGCTTTGTTGTATTTTATTTTAATTTAATTGTTTTATTTTATTTCAAATATTTTTTTAATTTTATTTTCATTTTATTTATATTATTTTATTTTATTTAGTTACATTTAATTTTACTTTACTTTAGTTTAGTTCATTTCTTTTATTTCAATTATTTTTTAATTTATTTTATTTCATTTTTTCTACTTTATTTAATTTTAATTTAGTTTAAATTATTTTGTTTTATTTTATTTTATTTTATTTTATTTTATTTTTTTTTTTTTTATTTTTTATTTTAATTTTGTTTTATTTTATTTTATTTTATTTTATTTTATTTTATTTTATTTTATTTTATTTTATTTTATTTTATTTTATTTTATTTTATTTTATTTTAATTTATTTTAATTTATTTTAATTTATTTTAATTTATTTTAATTTATTTTAATTTATTTTAATTTATTTTATTTTATTTTATTATATATATTTTTTTATTTCTTTTATTTTTTTTTTTGGAAAATTATTTGAATTTATTGAATTTTTTTATTATAATATTTTTTTTGTTTTATTTATTTTTTTTGTTTGTTTTTATGTTTAATTTCATTTCATTTTATTTTATTTGTATTAATGTTTTGTAATTTTTATCATTTTATTACTTTTAGGTTATTTTATTTTTATTATTTTTATTTTATTTTATTTAATTTTTTATTATTTCGTTTATTATATTTCTTTTTTTTATTTTATTTGTATATTTTATTTTGTTATTTTATTTTACTTTATTTTATTTTATTTTTTTCTTATTTTCTTTTATTATTTGATATTATTTAATTCCTTGATTTAATTAACTTAATATAATTTTATTCTAATTAGCAAAATTTAATATAAATGTATTAACAGATGTAAATATTTGGAAATATCGTCAGAACTGTTTAAAAATTTGTTCTAGGAATGTACAGGGAAATTACTCAATATCTCATGAGTCAGATAAATGTAAAGTTCCACAAATTAGACCTTCAAGAGATATTTATATAAATATACACCACAACCACTAAGTATATATTTTCACAAGAAAATACAAATTTTCGAATTTATTGAGTCAAAATCGTCAAAATATTATGGTTCCATAATTTACCTAGATAAAAATGGAAAAAAGCATAGCCAAAGAAGAAAATAAAATGTAGAGCTTTAATTAATATTGTTTTTATTGTTATTATTATTTTGTTTCTGTTTTTGTATTTTTGTTGTTTTTGATTTAACTTCATTTATTTGTTGACTTTACTTGCCACTTCCGCTGCTTCCCACGCCATAAAAAAATGCTCATGTAAATTTGTACAATTGTATTTAACAAAATTGTTTTATTCAACTGTTATATACTACGCATATAGTTGCTGTTGTAGTTATTTTATTATCAAAGCGACGCTTTGCTGTGACCTTTGTGTATGCGTTAACGGCCGGAAATACTACAATTTACCAAATACACACACACTCATGTACATACCACCGCCATGCGTATGCGTAAAAGTGACGTACGCGAATGTTGATTGTTTACTATTTTATGTATATATGTACGTGTTCATTTTGCGCTTAAAATTCTACCATTCTTCATAATTTTTCACAAGTTTCATGGTGCAAAACGACAATAAAGCGGCGCGTGCAACTAACTGTTATATTTGTGTTTTATTTTTTTCATGACAAAATATTAATAATAAATAAGGGAAAAAAACGTGTGAAAAATTAAGTAAAAAAAATGTAAATAAAAAAATAAAAAACAAAATGGAAAATAAATTGAAAATGAAAACAAAAATATTTATTTCACCAGCTGAAACAATTTTTTCTTTTGTTCAAACGAACGTGTCTCTCTGTGATGTTACTGGCTTCCGTCTGTTATGTGGTGAATTCTTAAAATTTCAATGAGAATAACGGAAATTTATAATGTTTTTTTTTTACTGTAACTAAGGAATACTTGCTGTGTGGGAACACAAACTAAGTTTTTCTTCACAGGAAAAATAAATCAATAAATTCGTTAGTTACAAGGTTAGGTGCTCTTGGACGACACTCGCGGAAATATTTCTACAATAGAAATCAACACAGTGTGTGGATAATCAGTTTGAAATATTAAATATATTGTACTTAGGACAGAATCACCTTAATGGCAACTGTCACAAAGAAAGGTCTAATTTTTAACCAGTTTATTCTTTGAGTGGAGACCAATTGGTCGAACATGAAAGCAGGCCTCAGCATAAAATGCTCACACAATTAAAAACTTGCTGAAATTGGGAATCAACCAAGTTGAAACTGCACTGGGTACTCTCAGAATGGGTCAGTTTGAATTAGTTCTTTCTAGAGACATTTGACACGTACAAATGAGAACCAGAAGTGGCTCCAACTTGCTTTTGATTTGCTAAGCAAACGAGCAAGGAGCTAACTTACTTTTAACGGGGCTGGTACCTGCAAGTCGCCCGGTATCAGGGGCTGCTAAGAATAAATCGTGCTATATAATTATCAGTTTGGAACAATTTTGGAATGAAGACTGCAGTGACGGAAGGATGGAGCTTTTGGGAGAAGCTAGTCATGTCAAGAACAACTGAGAATATTGCCGCTGATGCCCAAAGTGTTGAAAAAAACCCAAAGGTTTATCCATTAATGATCATTCTGTGATATATACTTGGGTCTTGGGTCTCAGACTTGGGTCTTAAGGCGTATAAATTTTAGTTACCACAATAACTCAAGCCGGTCGATCGTCAGCAACGTCTTGTCTCTGCTGTTTGAGTTCTTGAAATGCATGAAAATTATCCAGAATGTCAACAAAAAATGATCTCAACTGCACAGACCCATTTCCACCTCCATGCCTATGACAATAAGCAAAACTGTCGCATCTGGGATTTTATGGTCTGGTGGGGTGATTGGACCTTACTTTTTCGAAAACGAGGCTGGAGTAACAGTTACGGTGAATGGATTGCGCTATTTAGTAGAGATGATTAATGATTTTTATGGCGGGAATTGTAAGGTATTTGTTAGGACAACGTTCTCTTTCCAGTCGTTACATACATCATCTAGACTTTGTTCAAATTTTCTAAAAGCTCAATAATCGACAGGAAGGGATACAGGCTCAGTAGGAAACAAAATGCTCCCATTTGGAGCGACACAAACCATTGTTGAGACGCCATTATATCCTCAAAAATTTACTGTTTTGGAAGGGAGTCATTAGTCCAACTTTCTTCAAAAATGGAGCTGGTCATATTGTTGCAGTCGTCAGTGGTGGAGAACTCCTGGCAGAGAATGATAAGCCCACCAAGCCAGAAATACGCTCCCATACATGAAAACTCATCATAAAATTCCATTGGCCGTTCATAGGCGGCTTAAAATAAATCCATTTGTAGGAAGAACATCAAAAGGAATACCGTAAAATCTTCTTTCATTATCTTCAGCTTATCTTTTCCTATCTAGTAAGAGATTAAATTCATATTTTATTTTGCAAAGTTTAACTCGCCAAAAATGTTTTTAAAGCACCAAATACTCAAAAGGAGCTTTTATATAGAAGCAGGTACATATATACATGTAAATTAATGTCCATGTATGTGTGCGTTTGTATCCCTTTCATTCCACAGAACTCATTCATTTCCTGCTACATTTTTTATTATTTTAACTAATTTTTCACAGCAATAAATTTTCAATAAACAAAATACCCAAAGAACGACTTCAGGCAAAAAAACAAAAAAAAGAACACACAGAAAAGATGGGGAGAACGGTAAAAAAATGCTACCGCACACAATGCAATTCGTCAGCAAGCACATGAAATTCCCGCTAAATGTGTGGATGAGTTCAAAGGAATACGCAGCAAAACTGAAGGTATGTTTATTAGTAAGTACATGAGTAAGCGTGAACCACTGGCTCACTAAAATCCCATACAAATACAAAAAAAAAACAACAAAAACAGAATAGGCGAATGAGTTAAATATAAATTCAGTGTGAAATATCATTCATTCCATCAACTCGGCAAAAGAACTAACTTACCTTGTGACTGTCCAACGGTGAGCAGTGCAGCTAACGTCAGCAGCAACAACAATAGCAGCGACATCGGCTGGCCGCCGTGGCCACAAAACTTTGGTATGCCCATGGTGTGTGTGTGTGTGCGCGCCTGTGCGTCGTTTTGTACACTATACACTGTTATTTTTTTCGTGCTTGCAGTTCAGTTCTTTGTTGTTTAAGTTGTTATTATTTGCTCTCTCCCTGCTGTTTTAGGTAATTCAATTTATATTTTTTTAATTATGTTTGATTTTTTTTAAAGCTTTTGCTGAAAAAAAAAATTAAGCTGCTTTGTCAGACAAAATAATTATTTAATATTTTTCACTTAACACAAATTATTATTATTTTTTTTTCATTTATTTAAAAAATATTTTTCGTTTAATAATTTTTGGATTTTCGAATTTTCGTTTGGTGCACTGTTTTTTTTTTGTAAGGTGTGTGTGTTGTTTTTTAAATTGCTAAGTAACAATTGTTTTTTGGCATTTTTACAATTTCATAAATTTTAATTTCTTTCAATAATATTAAATTTTTTATTCTTATAAATTTTTTTTTAATTAATTCACAATTTTTTATTTTTATTTCTTAATTAAAAATTTTCAATTTTTCCATTTTTATTGAACTTTTTTGTATTTTTTATTACAATTTTTTTAATTGTTATTTCTATATTTAATTTTCTTTATTTTTCTAAATATTTTATTGTCATAGTTTTTCTTCTTTTTCCTTATATTTTTTTGAATTTGTTTCTAAATATTGTTTACATTTTCTGATATATTATAGTTTTTTAATTTTTTTATAGAATTTTTTTAAGTGTTTTTGATTTTATTAAAATTTTTCAATGGAATTTTGTCTAAATGGTTTTAAATTATTTTAAATTTAATATAAATAATTCATTTTTAATTTTCTATTTCGAATTTTTGATTTTTTTACAAATTTTTAAAGTTTTAATTTTGTTTTATAGATTTTTTCCAACTAATTTTAAAATTTTTTTAAATTTTTTAATTTTAAATTCTTTTACAAAATTTTAATATTTAAATTTTGGCTACATTTTTTTAATTTTATTGAACCTTTTTCCAAATATTTTTTTAATCTTATATATTTATTACAATTTTTCAATATTTATTATGCGTTTAACAATTCTTTGATTTTCAACTTTTTTTTTGCTAAATGATGTTAAAGCTTTTAAATTTAATATAAATAAATAATTTAAAATTTTTTAATTTTAAATTTTTGATTTTTTTTCTTACAAATTTTTAAAGTTTTAATTTTTTTTTATAGATTTTTTCTAAATAATTTTAAAATTTTTTAAAATTAAATTTTAAATTCTTTTACAAAACTTTTATGTTTAAATTAAATTTTTTTAATTTTATATTCATTTACAAATTTTTAATGTTTAAATTTTTTTTAATTTTATTGACCTTTTTCCAAATATTTTTTTAATCTTTAATGTATATATAATTTACATTTTACATTTTATTATTTACAATTCTTTGATTTCCAACTTTATTTATATTCGATTTTTTTTCTTATAATTTTCGTAGTTTTGTAATCTTTTTACAATTTTTTTTCTTTTTATAGTATAATTTTTAGTCTTTAATTTTCATTCCAATTTTTTAGTTATGATTATTTTTATATAACTTTTTTCTAGTTTTTAAAAAAAATTTCCTTTTATTATTTTTTTTTTAATTTTTATAACAATTTTTTAACTTTATTATTTGTTTTATAAATTTTTATACACAATTTTATTTTTATTAAATTATTTTGTAATTATTATTTTCATTTTCTTATTTTTTAATTTTGTTATTTTTATTATTTTTTTTAATGCAATTTTTTATATATGCTACTGAATTTTTTACTAATTAAACAAAAATTAAAAACCAGTTAATTGTGTAAATAAATAAAAATTAATATCTGTTTACCGTTATGTTATGTGTAGAAAAATAAAAATAACAACAATAATTTATTCAACCAAAAATATGCATTTGCGTTGTGGAAAAAATTGGAAAAAAACTCGTATGCATTGCGCAGTCAAATCGAAGACTGTGTAAAGCGAAATATAAAATGTAATTACTTTTTAAGGTAAAAATACAGCAACAACTGCAACAGTGTGGCTGCTGTGTGTGTTAAATATCTTGTATCTCTGTAAATGACACGCAGTTTGTGTAGCAGCGTTCTCAAGGTTATGCGCAAAGCAAACCAAACATATATACATACATATAAATTAGGTAGAGTGTGTGGGTATGTGTGCGCTCTAGAATGCATGTGAGCTCCTCGTATGCTAAATTCAGTGCTGCTGCTGCTGTTGTTGTTGTTGTTGTTGTTGTTATTATTATTACTATGCCAACTAAGTGGCTGTTGTGAATGACTGAATTATTGTTGTTGTTGCTATATCTTTCATATGGGAGTATTATACGAAAAAAATTCTTTATAGTGACTACTGAAAGCGGAAGTAGACGGAGTCAGCCAACTCAATCCATGTGAAAGAAAACCACCAAAATTTCAGAGTATTCTTGCTACTATTTGAGGAATATTGCCAGAGCGCTAGGTCTGGATATTCTAGTAGATTAAACTCCCAGTTATACAGACTAAGCCCCGACTTGCCTAACATATGTCCTGCTTGCAATGAGTCCCCGCACGACACTAACCCCCTCTTTGATTGTCCCTAAAAACAACTCAAAGAGCCCCCCTTCGCACTGGGCCGAACACGTCGAAACAGCTCGTTTCCTGGACCTCCTACCTTAGATGAGCTCGATGACTTAGATTAATCAAATCTGCTCCCCAGCGGGGTTGGTAAACCGCTACTATACTACAATATAACCAGACAGCTCGACCTGCCCACTGTGATACCTATAGAGTCGTGATTTCTCTTAGCTTTCTACATATTTCTCGACCCTTAAAGCATTTAGTGCGTTTTATGAAGCCCAAAAGATTGCTGAAACCTGCTAATAAAAGTTCTGCAGACAGTCGCAATGAACTATTGCGGGAAGACGATCTCAGGTCGCACTGAAGACAGTGATAGAGGAATTTTTTTTTACAGACTTCTCCTTATCTAAGGCACTGCAGCTGCAGTTTCCACCGTGTACACCTGTGCTCGATTATTGAGCCGATTCTTATGTTAGTTTAGATCCTGTTGATTAGATGTGGAAAAACTGAATACTTTTCTCTTCGATCAATGGCTAGAACTGTCTGACTACATTCCCCACTCTCTGCTATGAGTTCTACTAAAGAAGGACAACGCAACAGGTGTTCTGTCGAGGAGGCGTATACATTGGTCATATTCATTCTTCATCTTTTATCAAACTCATTTGGCTCAGAGTTTCTGACATGTCTCTGTTTCCGGAAACTTGGACAACGGACATTTCGCTTTATTAATAGTAGCTTTGCTGTCAGTATAGATTGTGAATGATTGAGTTTACACTGCACTGGATAGCCGCGAAACGGCTTTGGTAATTGCATTTAGTTTTGCTTTAATGACGCTGCAGTGGTTGGAAATTCCTTTTCTCATACGCATATATTACGGAAGCCAATGAGGTCATAGCCCACTTTACCATCGAGCTTTGAGCTGTCGGAGAAGGTAGCTTTTACTGTGAACTCAGAATTGTTAGATTTTCCCATTTTATCTTCTATGGGGTTTTTCTTTCGCATTATGCATCACACGTAATAATAATTGGGATCCTGGGGCAGGCCTAGTCTCACAGATGAACTGACACGCAGCTAAATAAATAAATAGCCGTTGATACCATAGGCATATAGTCTACTACTTCAAAAGTGTTTCTAATTTCTGATGATTTTTTATCAATTTTTTTCATTGATTTTAAGACGCCACTAAAAGTGGTGAAATAGTTAAAGGGCAGGAAGCTTAATATCATTTCGTCATGTAAATTTTTTAAAACAATAATAGCAATAAATAGATTAACAGTCACACGTAAATCAAGGCTTTCACACGTCTCATCTTGTTGTTGGGCATTTTTTTTCCAAATTTTCACTACAATTCTTTGCTTAGTTTGAATTTGCTTAAACAGCGCTTTTTAACCAATATTTATATATATATATATATATATATATATATATATATATATATATATATATATATATTCCATTCATTCCACCATTCATGAAATCATTTAATACTTACACACTCACACACACAAACACACACAGAATTGGGTTAGTCAGTGTTGCTTTGCTTCGCTCCGCTTGCACAATAACTAATGAAGTTTGGCTATTGGTGTTGTTGTAGTTTTTATTTAAAACTAATAAGTTATGTTACGTATTCGAAAATCTGTACATACATTATAATATGTATACTCGCGCTTGTCCATTTTTAAAGCGGATTTGAAATTGGCTCTGATGGAAAACTAATTTTATTTGAATGATTGGTTCGTGAGAAATTGCAATAATTAAAGAAATGTGTCATAAGGAAACAAAATAAGCAAATTAAAATATAACTAAAATGCATAAAAAAATGGAAATAAATAAAATTTAATTAAAGTAAATTAAATTAAATTAAATTAAAAAAAGTGAAAATAATAGTCAGGATAAAACCATGAAATGAAAAAAATTAACTAAATAAAATAAAATAAAATAAAATAAAATAAAATAAAATAAAATAAAATAAAATAAAATAAAATAAATTAAACCAAAATAAAATAAAATAAAACAAAATAAAATAAAATAGAGTAAAATTAAATAAAACAAAACAAAATAAAATAAAACAAATTAAAATAAAATATAACAAATTGGGTGTTTTTTTATTTTGACCTCTAGCCGGCAAACAATTTCAATGAAATATAAAAAAAGTCGCCAAACCCATTAAAATAAAATTAAAGAAATAAAAAGAGAATAAAAGTATTACATAAATTAAAATATGAATAAGTGAAAAAAAGTTAAAGCAAAATATAAAAATTAATTGAAGTTAAATAATTTTAAGTACAGTAAAATAAAATAGGAAAATTTATAATAAATTAAATAAAGCAAATTATAATAATATAAAATAAAATCGATTAAAAAAATTTAATTAAATGATCTTAAATCGAATATAAAAAATAGTTTAAAATAAAAAATTAATTAAAATACAATAAAAAGATGAAATAAAAATTAAAAAAGTTAAAAGAAATAAGTAAATTAAATCGAAATAAAGTAAACCAAACCAAACTAAAATCAAGTAAATTAAATAAAAATAATTTAAAATAAAATAAAATTAAATAAAGCAATAAATTTAAATTAATTAAAATAAAATAATGAAAAGTAAAATGAAATGTAGTATAATAAAGCTTATAAAATGAAATACAATTAAAAAGTATGTAATAAAGGAGAGTAAAATAAAAGTTAACTAAAATAAAATAAAAAAATAAAATTAAATTAAATTACATAAAAATAAAAAAATTAAATTAAAAAAAGATTAAAATAAACAAAAGTTAAATAAAATAAAATTAATCAAAAAATTAATTATAGTAAAAATAAAATAAATTACACAAAATGTAATAAGTTATACTAAGTATTAAATAATGTAATTGAAATTATATATTATTATTAATAGTAATATATATATTTTATTAAATAAAAAGATGTTACAATAAAAGAAATTGAATTTATTTAAAATAAATAAAATTATCTAAGTTAATTTCCGTACAACTTAAATAAAATAAAATTAAAAAATTCAACTAAAAAAAAACAAAAAAAAAAAAAAAATTAAACAAAGTTAAATGAAATAAAATTAATCAAAAAATGAATTATAGTAAAAATAAAATAATTTACACAAAATGTAAAAAGATGTATTAAGTATTAAACAATGTAATGGAAATTATATATTAATATTAATAGTAATTTATATAACATTTTTAATAAAAAGATGTTAAAATAAAAAAAAAATGAATTTATATAAAATAAATAAAATTAAGTTAATTTACGTACAACTTAAATAAAATGAAATTAAAAAATTATAATAAAGAAAACTAAATTAAAATAAAATGAAATAAATAAAATTAATTCAAAAATAAATAAAATAAACTTCAAAAAATGTAATAAAATATATTAAATGTTAAATAAACTAAAGGAAATTATATAATTAATTAAACAAAAAGATTAAAATAAAAGAAATTAAATCTACATAAAATAAATAAATTTGAGTTAATATACATAAATTAAAATCAAATAGAAAAAATAATATACTAAAATAAGAAATAAAGTAAATTAATTAATATAAATAAATTATTAAAGTTAAACAAAAAAATTAAAATTAAATAAAATAATTTGAAATAAAACACAAAATAATCCCCCACATTCGAATTTCTCGACCATTCAGGAAACCCTGTCAGTTAACATACAATAAGCAACTAGCAAACAAAACAAAAGACTTACGAAACGAACTTGCATTGAGTTGAGCAGAAACAATGTAAAAGCGTAAAGTTCGCTCGATAGGCGTATGCTGTGCATGCAAAGACTAGTTTGGTGACTTTATTTAAATTTAAAACTACCTTTTTCCACTTATTTATTGTTTTCCTTTCATTTAATATGGCCACTTTGATTTGTTTGTGCGTAAGCGGTCATTGTGACAAATGAAACGGAACTGTTTGTTGGAATTTTTTTTCACCAAATTTACTTTATTGGTTAGTTGGTTAGTTTTCTTGAAGATTCAGTGAATCACTAATGATGTGATATTACAAAATGTGCGTAAATATATTTTTATTTTTATTTTAAATGCATAAGTATTTATATACAGCATATGTGTATGTATGCGGATTGTGTTTAAGCTTCTTCAACGGCTTAAAATAACTGATTGTCACATTTGCTTTGATTAACTCTTACTTTTTACTTTTGTTCATCATATAACAGTGTAAATCATATTAAATAAACACTTGTGTAAGAAAAACTTAGGTTAAAACCGATTTTATTAACCGTAAGTGAAGGGCAAGTAATAAAGTTGTTTAAAAAATATGATTTTACATGAGCAATCAAAAATCAAAATGGAAAGTAAAATCAAATAATAAATTAATATTTAGTTTTATTATTTTCATATAGAATGTTGCACATGATTTTTTCTTTGAACTATAGATTTGAAATATTTATTAAATTTTTATAATTTTTTTATGAAAACTGTTATATTGGATTGTTTTTAATTTTATAAGAATTGCTTTCTTCAATTCAAATGTAAAGACAATTTTAATAATACAGAGAAGAAGTTATGCATATAAATATTAATCAATTGCAAGCAAAAAATAAAAAATTTAAATATTAATTTTATTTTTAAATATTTTTTCTTTCTATTGTAAGAGACCAGTTTTTTTTAAACCAATTAAACTTTAATTTTAATTTAATTTTAATTGTTTGCATTTAGTTGTAAAAAATATTTATATGACAAATTTGACCGATTTTCATGGTTTAAAGATTAAATAAAATGTAGATTATTGTGTTATACTTTTTTTCAAATTTAAAATATATAGAACATAGAACATAAAATATAAAACATAGGGTGTTGAATTAAGAGTATAAAATAAAAAGAATATAGATCTTAGAATGAAGAGGAATATTGAATATAAAATATGGAAAATAGAATATAGAATATAGGAATTGGAATATAAACAAATAGAATATAATTTGTAATAGGGTATATGGAATATAGAATTTTCCTGCAAGTATGTTTTTTAAGTTGTAAATTCATTTCAATATAATAATTAATCTTGTACAAAAATCTTCTTTGAATGATTAACTCAATTTAATTTAATTTTGTATTAATTTTTTTATTATCAATTGAATTTAATTTAATAACTACTTTTGCATAAAAGTCTCTTTTAAATTATCAACTTTATTTTATTTAATTATTATTTTTACAGCATATATTGAGTTTATTTTTTATATATTTATTAGGTTTTTATTTCGTATAAAATGTTATTTAAATTTTTAATTTAATTCAATTTAATTATTAATTTTTTATAAAAAAAATTTCTTTAAATGATTAATTTAATTCGATTTAATTATTAATTTTCTAATTAATTAATATAAATTCTTTAAATTATTAATTTTCCATATCAATGTTTTTTGCATTATTAATTGAATTTAATGTAATTATTAATTTTGTATACAAATCGCCTTTAAATGATTAATTTGATTTAATTATTATTATTTTAAATTATTTATTGAATTAAATTTTTATTTCGTGTAAAACGTTATTTAAATATTTTATTTTTTTTTTAATAAAATCATTAATTTTGTACAAAATCTTTTTCAAAGAATTAACTTAATTTGATTAAATTAATAATTTTTCTATTTTATTAATAGATTTTTTTTTGTAATATCAATTTTGTATATAAACGTTTTTAAAATTATTAACTGAGTCTAATTAATTTATGGGTTTTGTATAAAAATCTCCCTTAAATGATTAACTTAATTTGATTTAATTATTAATTTTTAAATTTATTAATATAATTTTTTTAAATTTTTAATTTATATATAAATATATTTCTTTTTATTAGTTCGAGTCTAATTCAATTATTAAATTATTATAAAATCTTATAAGTTAATCATTTAAACTTAAGATTTAATTATTATTTTATTAAATTATTTATCGCACTTAATTTAATTTTTATTTCGTATAAAATGTTATTAAAATTTTTTATTTCATTTAATTAAATTATTAATTTTGTATTAAAATCTTCTTTATTTGATTAACCTAATTTGATTAAATTATTAAGTTTTATATTTTTTAATAAATTAGTTTTAATTATAAATTTTGTATTAAAATCTTGTTTTGATTAACTAAATTTGATTTAATTATTAATTTTTAAATTTATTAATATAATTTTTTCAGTTATTAAATTTATACATAAATGTTTTTGAAATTATTAATTGAGTATAATTTAATTATTAATATACTTTTATTAAATTTTTAATTAAATATAAATATATTTCTAATTAATTTATTATTAAAATCTTACAAGTTAATCATTTAAACTTAATTTGATTTAATTATTATTTTTTTAAATTATTTATCAAACATAATTTAATTTTTATTTTTTAAAATAAAATTATGTTAATTTTTTATTTCATTTAATTAAATTATTAATTTTGTATTAAAATCTTCTTTTTTTGATTAACTTAATTTGATTTAATTATTAATTTTTAAATATAATAATATAATTTTTTTAGTTATTAATTTTGTACATAAATGTTTTTGAAATTATTAATTGAGTCTAATTAAATTATTAATTTTGTATAAAAATCTTTTTTAAATGATTAATTCAATTTGATTGATTTATTATTTTTTTATATATTTATTGGATTTGATTAAATTTTTATTTCCTATGGAAATACTTATAAAACTTGATTTAACTTAATTTATGGTTTAGTATAAAAATTATAAAATTAGTTTATTTATTATTTATGAAATTATTTTTACAGAAATATTTTCTTTTTGCTAAGATATTAATTTTGATAAATTAAATAGTTTAAAATCTTCCAGAACTCTTTGTTACTCATTGCAACTGTAATACACACATATATATGTATATGCATTTATATAAATAATATATATGTCAATATTAAATTTCTTTTTCTCAGCTACCACCCGCTTATCGCTGGTATTATCTCATATACGGTAAATATAAAAGCTTTTCCATATGCATATCTACAATATGAAGCGAAACGCTTACTTGCAGGCGCACCAACGCTTGACGCTCACTACGTTGTGTTTGCTGTTGTTGAAATACAAAAACAAAAATTCGTTGTTTCTTGCATACAAATTAATAAGTGACTGAAATGCGAGAGACACGGTGGACAATGACAACAAGAGGAAGCAACAACAACGACAATAATATAATAACAACAAAACGAAAAACAACAGCAACAGCAGCAGCAGCAACAGCAGTGATTGAAAAGTGGTAAAAAGGGGCAAAAAAGGAAATTGAAAAAATTCAAAAAATTGTTTTTTAATAATTTTGTTTTAAATTTAACTTTTATACATAAAGTGGTTTTTAATTTGGTTCACATATATGCATTTCATATGTTTATATGTATGCAAAATGATTTTTTTCTGCAATTTTGGCATTATTTAATTTGTATATTTTATGGCCTTTGTTCCTTTTCAGTACTCAAGAAACAAAAAAAAGTACTATTTTTTTGTTGCACACACAAATAATTTTTTCAAAAAATATTTAGAAATATTTTACAGTATTTCTAAATATTTATTTACACTAAAATCCACTCAATTTTTCATTCACATACGTTACGCCATTCGAATTGTTATTGTACTTAGTAGATATATTTTATTTATTAATTTCCATTAATTCTTTTTATTAATTCTTCGCACAATTTTTTTATCCGTGTTTTTCGTTAAGCGCACCAGCGTTGAACCGTTCAAAAACGCGTTTCGAGTTAAACTAACCACAGCTTTCGTTATTCGTTGTTGGCCAGCGTCAAGGTGGTCGAGTTAGGTGTACGAGCCAAGCATAGAGCGTGTTGTGGCTTATGATCTGGGCTTGGCTAGCAAAGTGGTAGCGCAAGAATTTGGTAAGTAAAGCTGGTAAGCGGGTAATAAATGCAAAAGTGGAATCAAAAGAGCCAAAAGTATGAGCAATGCGCTGAGGTAAAGTTGGAAGCCTGAGGTGAAAATGCAACTGAAGAAGAATGTTGAGTTGAGCGCTCTCTGAGCGGGAGACTGAGCAAAAATTACTTCAACAAAGCCACTGTAATGGAGCTTAAAATAAATTCACTGAAATTTTTGTACTTTGAAAGAGTTGTGCGTATGAAAGTATAAAGCTTGCGGAAAGCTTACGGCAGGTGTTATAACGTAAGCGACTTAGTTCCGAAAATAATATCGTCTAAATATACGATTTTTTAGTCTTTTTTGACGAAATAAGATGATTTGATCCATAAAATCGCCAAATCCATTATATTCTACCGATCACTTGAAGATCTCATCTTTCTCGGCATCCAGCCTTAAAAGTATTCGTTGCATTACCCTCCGCTGGGAGGAAAGGAATGGAGAAGACCTCTACTCCGTTGGAAGGTTTTATTATTTCCAACTGACCACGAGCAGCGAAGAGAAGCACCGAATGGCGCACTATTGTTGATCGGCTCCAATCACGTAAGCGGTGCTCACGCCAATGAAAAAGAAAAATGAGCTTTTAAGTTCTGACGATTGCTTACCAGTGAGTGCTACCATTCAGAGGATAATAGATTCGAGTTCTAACCACACCAGCATTCAAAATTTATAGAAAAAATGTCTAATTGTGGTCGCTCTTCGGTTGAGAATGTCAACCACTCCGAGTATAATTCAGACGCGAGATGAAAAGTTTCTAACAAAAAAAGCCATCAAACGTTCAGAAGCGGCTTAGAAGAAAGCATTAAAGTCACGCAATACAAAGTAGAGGATCTCAGCAGTATTCTCTTGCTCCTGGATATGTTTTTCCTCTTTCCCATATGTCATATCCCAGCTTTCATGAAAACCCTGTTTACGTGAGTCCCTCTGGAATACTTAAGATGCGGTAATCGACTCGCATGCTGCCTTTGGTCACAGCTGAAATAGATGGAGATGGAGACTGATTTCGCTGCCTTCTGAGAGATCTGATAATAAGTGGGACAAGCACGGAAGAAGATAGGACATTGTACCATTTTCTACACAGACCAGAACCACTCACCTTTGGAGTGAAGAGCGAAACGGTGGGTGTAAAGCTACGAAGTTTGCTTGGTTTTGCTAACTCCATTGATTTGAATAGCGGGTGTGGGTCGTTAGGGTCCTCAATGGCAAAAGAATAAATCCGTTTGGTGATCTTAATGAGCTGAAGTCCGTCAACCACTTCAACCTAACTTAACCTAGGTGTATTAGCGGAATATTTACCGCTGATATATCGACTCCACAACCAAGCCAAGCAAAGTGAAACCGGTAGAGTACAGAACGTGCACCGAGGGGTACGAAACGATAGAGGACTACCTTTGTGAATGTCTGGCTTTCTGTCGTATGACACGGCAAGCTTTCTGTGCTTATGGAGATGGATGCGCGTTGGTGGAAGAAATCAATTATACAATATACATATATAATTGATGTTTTATAACCGCTGAGGCGAGTTGCGACCCAGCCCCTCTTCCTCTTTGCTATGTGTTGTACGTTTTATTGATCTATTCAACAAGAGGACGGATTTAGAGTATATTTTAAGCCACCTACGAATGCGCAAAGGAGCATAAATCGTACGCAAAACTTTTCTCTCGAAGACTCTCAGGGTCAACTACTCGGTTGTAGGCACCGTCCATGCTTCTGCATCATATATAGTAGGACAGCTATAAAGAGCGGCTTATAGAGTTTGGTTTTGGTACGCCGAGAGCGGACTTTACTTTTCAATTGCCTACTCCGTCCAATGTAGCAACTGTTGGCAAGAGTGATTCTGCGTTGAATTTCCAGACTGACGTTATTATTGGTGTTAATGCTGGTCCCTAGATAGACGAAATTATCTACGACTTCAATGTTAGGACTGTCAACAGTGACGTGGGAGCCAAGTCGCGAATGCGATGACTGTTAGTTTGATGACCCTGACCCATTCGCTTCGCTACTTTGTTAATCGTAGAGGAGGCAGAACTCACAGCGCGGATGATATCAATGTCACCAATGTACGCCAGCAGCTGTACACTCTTATAGAAGATTGTACCTTCGCTATTTAGCTCTGCAGTTGGTATTATTTGCTCCTGAAGCAAATTGAAGAAACCGCACGACAAGGAATCACCTTGTCTGAAACCTCGTTTGGTATCAAACGACTCGGTGAAGTCTTTCCCAATTGTGGTCGCGCTTCTAGTGCTGTCCAGCGTCAATTGACACAACCGTATAAGCCTTGCAGGGAGAAAGAAGCTAGCAGTAGGAAGTCCTGAGATTATACAGAACCTCAATGGAGAAGCTCAGCCTAAGCTAGATTTACACATGCCACTGACTGAGATAATGAACAGTTTCGAAGCACCCAATGGAAATCCATTAAAATACGACTTTGCATTGCATTAATCAGGCTAAGCGGCGAATAATTAGCACGTTAGAAGCATTAATGCCACTTGAATCCATTAGCGTCATTCATTTCACTGCGAACCAGCGCAGCGTTGGCTGAAACAAATAAATGCAAAGAAAAGCAAGGAAAACAACAACTAAAATCAAAAGTATATGCAACACATTTTCGCTAAAAAAAAAATTAGCACAGATTTCTTCACGCCAGCCAAAGGAGAAAACCCTCTAACCCATTTCGTTAAGCGCTGTCGCAAGAGCTGTTTGGATACAGCAAACGAAAAAAATGAAATGAAAATGAAAATAAAAGTGATTTTCGTAAGCAAAGTTATTCACTAAGTCACTCTGTTGCTGTGTTGTTGTGCTATAGTTATTTATGTGCACTCGCTTAATCTGCCTTTAAACGCCGCCTGCGAAGACTGCACTGAATGTGAAAATGTAATTTTCGCAAACTCATTCACAGTCATCGATCACAATTAGGCCCAGTGTGGAGTATTAACTTATGATGTCTAAGGCAAGCCGAGAAACATACATACATACTCTACTAAGTCGCTTCCACAAATGCTTACATACTTAATGCTGTTCAAATCTGTCTCATCTCGATCGAAAGTCGTCGATCGTCGGTGATCCCACATAAATCGCTAACTGAAAGCTTCAATATGTAGATATATGTGTTGTATTGTATTTAAGATGAAGCCTTGCATGTAGATGAATTTAGCATACATATATATATATTGGTCGAGTAAAAAGTTCGTTCGGGTTTTTATTGATTTTTCAAAATATGATAACTTTGTCCGATTTATGCGCCGTTTTGTTCGGAAACTTGTAACCAACGAGATGCCAATTTTTCGTAGCAGACTGCGTCTTTATTGGCAAAAAACTCGGAGGTCCAATTTTCACAGGCCTCTCTTAAGACCAACTTCTCATCATTAAGCACGTTCGCTATGGACACGAAAAGATGGTAATCACTTGGTGCCAGGTCCGGACTATAAGGTGGGTGCATTAGGACCTTCTATTCGAGGACCTGGAGCTTCTGGCGCATCACCAAAGACGTGTGTGGCCCGGCATTGTCCTGATGGAACACAATTCGGTCTCTGTTGATCAAAGATGGGGCCGCTTCTGGATGATGAGTGCTGCCTTCAAGCGATCCATTTGTTGGTAGTAGAGGGCCGAATTCAGCGTTTGGCCATAGGAGAGCAGCTCGGAGTAGATGATTCCTTGCCAATCGCACCAAACACACAGCAAAACCTTCCTGTCCGTCAAACCGGTATTGGCCACCGTCTGGGACGCTTCCCCGAGCTTTGACCACGACCGTTTGCGCTCGTTGTTGTCGTAAGTTACCCATTTTTCATCACCAGTCACGATCTTTTTCAGAAACGGGTCGATTTTGTTGCGATTCAGCAGCGATTCACAGATAAAAATTCGGTCCATCATGTTTTTTTGCGTTAGTTCGTGTGGCACCCAAACATCGAGCTTCTTTTTGAATCCAAGGTTATGCAAATGGTTCCAAAAAGTTTTCTGTCTTATCTTTAGTTCCACTTCCAATTAAATAAGTGTCCACGTGATGGTCTGTTTCCACTATTTCCATGGTTTTATCGCAATTTTCGACGACAGGCCTCCCGGCGCGTGGTGCATCGTTGACATCGAAATTAACGGAACGGAACCTTGGAAACCACTTTTGAGCGACACGTAACACTAGTACTATGGACAATAACGCCATCTCTCAACGACAAATGAACTTTTTACTTGACCAATGCGTGTATAAGTATGTGAATATACAGATGTATGTAAAGGGTTTTCCAATAAGAGATGTCACTTTTGAAGCTGTAATTTTTTGCTATTTGACAAGTAAAGACCACAGCGGTAATAAAAATGGAACGAAACACGCTTCAACAAAGTATTAAAATTCACCATGAAATCCTGGCAGAGACGGTTCGTAAGACTAAATCATTTTTCGGTCGTCGTGAGGCAGCTTGTCGGACCGCCATTCCGAAATTGGTGGAAAAACATGGGGCTGTTGGCACCAGTTAGTGAACGTCGCTCAAGAACAAGTGAGATTATTGCTGCCGTAGGGCAAAGTGTTGGAGAAAACCTAAGGTTTTTCCTTTCCTGATCATTCTGTGGAATGGGTCATTCCCCAAGCGTCATTACAGCATATTTTACATAAAGACTTGAGTCTTAAGAAGTATAAATTTCAGTTAACTCAACAACTCAAGCCGTCCGATCATCAACAAGGTCGTATTTTTGTTGATTGGTTCCTTGAAATGCATGAAAATCAACCGGAATCTCATGAAAAAATCATTTCGACTGATGAGGCCCATTTCCATCCCTCGATGGCTACGCTAATAAGCAAAACTGTTGCATCTGGGACTCATAAACCCCAAGATTT